AACGTTACGTAGCAATCAATCTACATTTCCTTTCGTGCGGTCTTCGCACATTTTATATATGTAGGTATTTACTTTTAAATTAAGACATAAGTAAATTTGCGTTGACGAAAACGGTAACCACTGCTAAATGCCATAGCATATCTTCCAAGGACCTGCTGCTTTTTCATTTCTTTTTTCTAGTTTCGGAAGACGCACTTTCTTGTACAAAGGTTCCCTTCGAAAATATCAGAGTTCGTAACATCAGAAAATATCAGAGAGTAACATTGTGATTTCGTATATAGGATGTATGCGCCTTGAACATGTGACACAGAATCTGATAATTGTTTTTTAAATAATAGATATTTTTAAAAGTTAGCCGTAATGAATAACGTACAAATTCTCGATCAACATGTGGCTAGGGTCCACTATGGACACAAGCAAGATGGAACACTCAATAAATTACTTGTAAAATTTGTGATCAAGACTAAACTTAGACGTAAACTAAGTTTACGTAATAAAAGACCTCTGCTACTGTTCACTTCGTTAGCGGTTAACGTTCGTTGTTAACACATGGTTCCTTAGTACGCTCTCAGTTACACTGACTTTAGAGAACCAGTTCACGGTGTCTTTTAATTTAATAAAGTATAATAAGTTTGCCCTTTCTACATGTTTTGTGTCACAGTGCACTTGCTTCTATGCTGTAATTGAACACTTGTCGATTACCTGCCCCTTGTCCAATAGCGTTACTATTATTATTTCATATATATTCAATATTATTTCATCGTTTGTGAAGGAGTCTTTGTACAAACTGCGAGGTTAAGTTCTGTAGGCCTATGCTACCTCATTGTCAGTAGTCCAAAGAAGCAATGGGGTCCTAATGAGATTTTACACCTTGCCAATAGCTTTCGAATACTATAAATGGCAACGGCATGCAGAAACTAGTTGTTTTTTTGCTTTGGATCTTCTTCGTTAAATGCACTGCGAAGAAATCGTTTGTATAGAGTTTTTAGATCGGGGCAACGTAAACGTTCACCGATTTGAGCAGAATTTCACGTTATTATTTAGTCTATTAAACTACACAATACAATTTAGAGATAAGGTTTGATTTGTACGTTTGGTCCACGTACAGAAAAAGAACGATGATGGGGTTTTGATAAGTAGAGGTACAAAAATGTGTATTTTAGCCAGTGCTGACAATCATCAGCGTGTTAATTCTCTAGATAATTGTTCACTGATAGGCTTATATTGTTTGTTTGTTTGTTAATGCCTAAATCTGAATACGATTTTGATCAGTTAGAAATTTATTAGCTCACGAACTTACCATTTAGACCCCTTTTCGTATTTGCAAATGAGTCAAAATTCAACCAAAAGAAAATATTTAGAAAACTTGAAAAATTTTCAAGTTATCTTCTCAAAACAGTAGAATCTGTGTGGCAAGGTGATGCCGCGATGGGAACTGGCCACAGGCGAGGTATTCGGAGCCCAGCTTGAAAAAGGGGGTAGAAGCGGAATTTCTGATCGTAAGCTGCTCGCTGTTATATAATTACAGCTTTACTCTGTATCCCGTTTAATTATTTCGGGCTTCAGGGCTCGCACACACCGATAGTAAGGTTAGCTCAAGATTACTCTCAGTGGACTTCGTTAGCTGTGTCGCATCTCTTTAGCTATCGAGCCACGTCTGACGCGTCTGATGAAATGAGTGACCCAATCATATGATCTGGTCGTCATCCTGTAATACTATTCATTGAAGATCCGAATCAACGAAAAGGAAATTGCAAAATGGAAAAAGGTGTTCGTAGACGCAAATCCAACAATATTAGTTCTAGCGTGTCTGGGCAAGTTATTAACTTCTATAAAAACCAAAACAAAAAAAATCATAAGATCACGTTGACAGTTAATTATATACGATTTAATTTAACAAGCAAAATGCGACTCCAGCTTCTGGAATATAGCTAGCTCTGTAAGCGCGGTTGAAGCTTCTTAACCGAGTGATGTATAGCAACGGAGATAGGATATACTGAAAGGACTCGAAACCCCATCAAATAGGCTTACAATGATATTTTTTGACCGTTCCGTGAATTCGTTACATAATCCATTGAACACAATCGAATTTATCACCTCTCAAGTTAATCAGATAGATTTAAGATCTTTTTTTTTTTTACAAAATAACCTAAACATCTTAAACATTCCCGTCCTTTTTAACCTATATTTTAAACTATACTGAATTATTATTAAAAATAATGACAAGTTTGCTCGATTTGACTGACACAAACTCCATAAAGGACGCACTAGATCCTGTATTTAGCGGTACTCTAAATCTCTACGTTTACTTGTCCTCAGAAGATTTGTCTTACATATATGATGGGCTGGCAACTTATGCCAGCACTGAAGGTAAGTGGAAGCCTCCAATAGATCTTGTTATTAATTACATGTTAGGCAGAAAAGGACGAAAGTTGTAGTTTATGATTGCAGTACACGAGAACGCGACACGACGCTACCCCCGGAGGCGACAACAATTCGTCGGTATAGGGCAAATCTGCCATGGTGTAATATATAAAGAACTATTCGGTTAAACAATATAATCAAACCTTAAGAAGAAACATTTAGACAATGCACCGTGCTCGTTTCGATACTCTGGAACGAAACCTAAATAAACGACGGAAGTTTTCGTGCTAGGAACTTCTCCATAACACGGTGCATCCGGATGAATTTCACGTATAGATGTATTTTTTATACCGGCACAATGACATAACACAACAAATGTTGGGACGCGAAACGATAAGCGTTCCAAAACAATATTAAAATAAACGCTTTACGCCTGTGCAACTGAAAAACTTAAATACGAAAAAAAAATATACGTCACTTATCTATATAGGTTTCTGATTGGCTTGAATAGGCGTCCCTAAGGAACAAATCCTAAATAAATAATTACAAGGAAAGTAAGAAAAGTGTTGAAAAATAGAGAATATAGCAGGGACTCTGTTATGATTAAAAAAAAACCTATTAAATCTCGTGCGATAATTTCTGTAACTTCTACGACAGCCTGTTCTTGATCCAAATTAGTACCTCTTCCACGCGAAACGCCTATCACTATATGTACGAACTTCCATCAATTTCGATGTTTCGGCTAAATTCGATGTACGTTTACAGTCAAAATGGCTTCATGTCTAAATACAACTGAGCGACGAAGAACAAAATTTCAGCAACTTCAGAAGTAACAGCTCCAGACGGTTTATAAAGTCAGCAATGCAATATATAAATAGGAAATCATTATCAGGTCAACTGTGCAATCGGTACGAAGTAGGTAGTAGGCCTAGACTGATACCTAATACGATGAAAAAAAAAAGTCTTTTTTTCTATCTAGCACAAAAGTGTGAGGCCCGTGTCTTTTACATTGATACAAGCAAAAGATGAGACCGTGTGTTAATCTGACGAAAAAGACAAGGATAACATTAGGTGCTTTCCATTAGAAAAGGATATGTTAAAAAAACTTAGCGTAATAAATATTATGTAACTAAAGTATGTTAAATAAGAGTATTTTATAGAGTTATGTAAAATACGCCGCTTGAGATTTTCAAAGAACTATTTCTTAGTCCATTATGGATAGTTCGATAATCGATTTTACTGCAAACTGGTGATAAGATGCGTGATTAAAATATCATTTTTAAACTTTCAAAACAACTTTATTTAATGAGATTAAGTTAACAATACAAATAAGAGCTAAAAATGTTTAGTTAAGTGCACTCGAGTAATAAATTTAATATAACAACGAGACCTTTATTGCAGATATGGCTTTTATATCAATCTTAATTTTAAAGGTGAGACCTTTAATGATTTTGGTATCTAGCCGCCTTTACTTTGGATGGGAATGAGCCATCCATCTTAATCCTATTGACAGTTCAAGTTCCGGCATGGTTCTGGTACAAAAAAAAATTAGGCTTACCAAGCAATAGTGTTGGCTTGATCTGCTTCGGAAGGGGGCAGTGACCGCTTCTTGTAGCGTCCGTTCATACTCATTACTTTAAATTCTTTACGGTAGCACGTAACGTTCTTTACAGTAACGTGTTTCGAAGTCAAAAAGCCGTTCCGCAAATATATATATATATATACCGAGAGAGAGAGAGGGAGAGAGTAATGCATGTCATATAACTCATAATGGTTCTTTAAAAGGATTAGTTGTATTTCTGCTGGCCTTGTATAAAATATAATCGCTTTCGAACACATAAAGCCCCACTGCAGATATAAGGCATACATTTTACGCTGCTGCCAAAGCTTATAATCAAGCATAAGTTTTTACATCCCGGGTTCGACTGATTACGAACCATTCGTTCGAGCTCTTCGAATTATATGGGTCTGTGGTTAAGTACTACTATCTCGTTTTTGATAGCAGCCGCCACCCTTATAGACACCAATCTTTTTCCCAGATCTAGCTTGCAAAAAATAGTATAGCTAAGGAAAAGTACGACAGGCTTGCAATAAAAAAATTATAACACGTTTGAGCTCTACAACCGCGAACAAAAACACGTTGGTTTCGCATAAACACTTGCACGTACATCATGTTATTCGCAAGACATAGTCATGCCGTGCACGAGTATGCTCTCGCCTACCGCACTATATTCTCAAAGTAACTATGTTGGAAGACCTACTATGACATACAGTGTGTTTCAACCACGTGCTATTTCGGCCTAGCGTTAGAAAACATCCATGTAGTAAGAGCTCATTATCATTATTATTAATCATCATAAAGGCACACCTGCAAAAGCGCATCGGTTACATTAAGGAAAAAGCGCTTGAGCCATTACCCTATAGTGATTTTTTCGCTTATAATTGGTAATGGAGTAATTTTTTCTACAACCTCGTCTTCTTTCACAAGCTTATAAAATTAGATAGCCCCATTTGAGATCGGCACGGTGAAAACGGGAAATCATCTACTATTAGTTGTTCAGTTGAGAACATAAGCTTCTGCTTGAAACGCTGGTTCATTATTTACATAGGTAAACACAACAGTTCGCAGAACTTACCTCAAGGCCTGGTGGGAAACTGGCGTCCTCATCGGCTTCTTCCTCTTCATCAGCTTCACCATTATGTTCATCGCGCTTCAGAAGACGGCGATCATTACGGTCCCGTCTATAAAAATCAGAAGAGGGTAACGGCGAAAAAGAAATTTTTCCATGAGATGAAGTTTTAGGTATCACACGCCCTACTTTAGCAGTACCTAACTTACAAGCAACATAAAAATGTCCAAATTCATACTTGATTTGAGGCCATTAAATAGGCCTACACGTGCACGTATGAATAACTGAGATAAAAGAACAAATCTGCGAACGTCTGTTGCAATCATTAGCACACCGAATAGGCTTATCTATAGGCATTTTAGCTATACAACTTCGTACCGACAAACGGCTGCTAGTTAAACCAAAATTAGCTGAGAAAATTGGCACTCATTTGCTAATTCAATATATTAAACGATCATAATGTTCAAAGTAGACTATTTTTTTTAAGAATACCAGTCTCATGCGTGCTCGTTAGAGTCGAAAGTGAGATCGGTACTGTCGATAAGAACGCATCCGTAAAAGTTTTCTTTTCAAAGACAATTGACAGGCATGGATCACAATGCATCCTCAAATAAATGTTTTTGCTACAACTGGCAAACCAAGATAATAATGTGAGCGTATTGTCGTTGGTAATCGTTCAGGCAGGAAGGTGACTTGGGGCTTAGCAGCCCTAAATTGAGCGTGTGGTCAGCGTGATACGTTTACGTATGTAAAGTACGATCCGCATTACTCATCAGGACAGAGCGAAAGAATTGCTTCTCCCCGACTAGGTTTACCAAGAAAGGCAAATGCAATAATGACGCCAGAATTACAAATGGCCAAAGGTCAGAATAGTGATAACAAATAGCCTATAAGTTAATTGCATGTAGCAGCAAATAACCGGACCGGGCTAATATGTTGTATCGTACCGTGCTCGCGTTCGTCTTTTTTTCTTTGCGAAATCTCACAGGGATTACGTGAGTATATGTTGTTGAACGAGAGGGCTTTCGACAGCCTACAGACGTTGGGTCCGTTAATGAAAAATCACCTTTGTAGCGTACTGTTACTCTCTGCAAAGACGTTCCAATAACCAGTGTTTCAAGTTTTGTCCTATGTATCATTCTCATCAAATCGTTAGTTACAGCCGAAACATGCGTTAATAAATCTATCTCAAAGGGTTTAATTGGCACGGCAGAAGGAGAATTATCCAAAGCAGCAAAAGTAAGCGGCAGAGAGCATGTTAACGTGCACGCTAAAACGATGCATTGCAGGCAGTTTAATGTTAGCCGAAGGTACCTGTGCTCATCGTAATGCCTGTTTAATGATCCTTAATAGTATTTGAAGCAAACGCACTATGGCATGCACAGCCATCCTCGCTACGTAGGTCCCCGCGGCTGTGGTCCATACTAACCTCGAAAGCATAAACATATATGGAACCGTAAAAAGCTCTGTTACAGTTCTTTAGTACCCCTTTGTAGTAACTTACATTACAGGGAAGGTAAGTCCATTAGTTCTATTTACAACTGGTTAGGTGCGAATCAGCTAAAGCTTCGCATAATGACAGGTTGCCATTTTGAGTGTTTGTGAACCATTTTCAGTAGTTGACAGCATTACTAAACTCTGGGTTTTGAAAAGATTCGCATTTCGTTATGAGTAAAACTAATTTTTCGAGAATGGGTCATTTTGACCGGGTACGGCTGGGATCAGTATCGAAAGAATATCGGAAATTTTAATGTTAAATAACTGTCAACGGTCGTCGATGATATTCGACAAGTAATGTAGCTCTTCCGGTTCTATTTTGTGCTTATGCGCAGCGGCTGGCAAATCAAATGTTGATTTTTACGTATACCAAATAGCAAGCAAACCGTGTTTACTTGCGGGCCCGTCGAAGGGGGGCGTTTGTTTTTTATCGACACAATGGCTAAAGTCCGCACAGCTTTTGCTTTCCATTTGACAGGTAGTACTTTCCCAACGAAAAAGTCAAGAGACAAAAACCATCTGCGTATATTATACCGCAAACAGAATTTGTTTAATAACTTTGTTACTGTTGAATCTAATCTTACTCTAGGCGGCTCGTTACTTTTTCATTTTTTCGTGTAGAGGTATTTTGGTAAGAAACATAAGTTTCAATCGCAGACTCGGCAACTTCTCCATTCTTTGCTGTTCGCAATATTCGGAACATACTATAGTCCAAGTTCCAATAGGCGAAACTATTCCCTACGCTTCTATCTTCCTTGGTTTTCGCTTTATCGCGTTGGATATTGGAGGGTTCGCAACAACTGAATCTCACCTTCGTTCCGCCAGCACGGTCATTCCAGCCGTCGCTTAGCGTAGCAAGCCACTAGTAACAAGCTACCGAACGGCTGCGCCTCAACAAGCGTGAGGTAGTTGGTGGATTGGATGAGTGCTTAGGGCCTGGGGCCCGATCGGAAGTGAAGCGTCCGCGAACACGCGAAGAGAATCCGACGAAACGAACAGGGGGCAAGCCAACGGTGGCAAAGTCACGGACCGAACGGGTAGGCAGCAATGCAATGCACGTTCTTCCACTTTGGAGCCTCACTACAAGCCATAGCGGTCGTTATGGATAGCTCCCGAACGGGAAAAGCATGCGGCTGCGATAGTAATAGCGGCGTTCATTGCTCTATTTTTACGCTATCAGGACAGGCGTTGCCGAACCTTATCTCTTTCATAAGCTTTTTCATCGGCTGTCTTCTCGTAACCAGACGCGCTGTGTCCTATACGTCAATACCTATCAGTCACAAGGTTGTTGTTTTCCTATTAGTACTCATAACGCAGTCAAATAACTTTTTTATAATGAGTATTATCTGTAATATCAGAATGGTGCCATGCTAAAGAAGCAACAATACGCGCAAGTTTCACAGTCTTTCGAACGTGGACACCACTTATATACATTCTCAGTCGAACTAAAAATACAATACCTATGGTCAAGTGTTTAGTCTTTCTTTTTGTTTTATTGCCAAGCTACGCCAGCGAGTAGCCTACAAATCGAGAACGGGATGAGGCGTGCACGACATCTACGTATGCCTAGCGGAAGATGCTTACCTGGCGCGCGCCATTGCGGCCTTCTGCTGGTTGTGACGTCCGGACGCTGAGCCTTTCTGCAATGTAAGCGACATTAGTGTCTGCTGTTTTCGTTGCTTTATGGGGGCAGAGAGTCTAGCAAAGTTTCTTGCAGAGGACCGTCCTTCCGTGCATATGCGACCTTTCGTCTGTCTTTGAATCCACTTCCCAGGCTAACTCATCCTACTAAGAGCCTCTCTGATCTAGCAGAAAAGCAAATTGTGCCTTTCCTATACGACAATACGAGACAGGTGCGCCATGTAGCGGAACAATAATAATCAAAATTTGTATTACTAAAAAATAATTATGAAATCGAGGAAGGAACCAACTCAGCCTGCTCAAGTGAGTAAATAACTAAATAACATAAATAATCATAATATGGTAGGATTGATCCAAACAGATAGAAATTGTGATTCGTATGAACACACATTAGCCTTCTTTTTTAGGAGACTTTGCATTCCTAAGGCCAACTAGAAAGGTACCTTTGACAAAACGCATAAACTAAGACATTGCATATTGTAAACAATACAGTCAGTTCCAATAAGGGTGATTGTCTATTTTTGTCCCAACAAATCTAATGTTAGAGAAAAGGATTAGCAATCATTAGTGAAAATTTTCTATTCAATTTTACAGTCGCATCTTGCAGTTGCTGCCCTACTTAGTAAAGGCAATAGATTTTAAGTGGCATTATTGTTAAGTCGCTTCATGGATACGCGTTACGCCGCCATTAGGGACTGATCAGATGATGAAATTTACTATCATGTAACCACTCTGTCATGTGTCATGATGTTATTAGACGAGACGAGGCTGACAATGAGACTTGCTTGTTCATGGGGTGAATGGGGGTCGCAGCGTCCGTCCGGAATGAGATAGCTTGCGTAATGATTAATTAGGATCACAGTTTGGCAAGGAAAAGACTGTGCTCATTGGGTAGGTAGCCTAGGAATATCGTTGGACTTCTCGTAATTGCCCTGCTTATCTATCTTATAGGTTCCGTCCATTTATTTTGTCTCTTTATGGTTCGCCTATATCGGCCTGCGTACGAAGGTTCGAAAGCCCTAAATCTTTCCGATAAAAAAGTGTACGCTGTATTACTTATCGCTTGGCGAAATTAGTTTGGGGCCATATTGTAGGCATGAGGCGAAGGTTAATTTTTTTTAAATCTAACACTTTTTGGGTAAATTGAAATGTGAAAATTCTCAAGAAACGTGAGCTCTATTAGATTCTAGTCCGACTTGGGCAGACACCGTACGTAACTGCAGTTCCTCGAAGGCTTTCGGATATAGGACTGATTAGTGACAAACAGAATCGATCTGTTCGAACTCAAACCGTATTTGATTTTTACATTATTCAAGGTAGGTCGCTAGGGTAAACAGTCGAATAGTTCGAAACTTTTATTTAGGTCTTGGAGTAATATTATAACCTAGCAAAGAGGACACACGTTTCGTTCTGCATAGGGCAAAATGAGCAGTCTTATATGATTGCAAATGCAGCAGAGCTGTTTTTGGTTGCTGGGGCGTTATTTATTTATAAGAGATTAGTGAATGGTCGCTAGCTTCTCCAAATCCTACAAGCTGGCCCTGTTTACAAAGTTGTTGCAATTAGAAATGCAATCAAAGCTGAGCATTTCCTTCGATCGCTAAATCTTCCCTGGATACGTCAGCTAAATTTTCCATTATTAGAAGACTGAGTTGACGGCATCGAATATGGAACATCTGAGCGTTCTCAAGCTGCCCCGCTGCACGCGGATAGGTCTGAGATGTGAGGAAGAAATTCGTGTTGACAGGCGTCTGTTAGTACTCCATTACGTGTTAGCATTTAGATCTTTTAATATGGAAACCGGCGGGATTATTGCAGCTTCGACGAGTAGTTGCGTTTGAAGTCGGCTGCCATGTGAGCTCAGTAGTTGTTGAAGTACACTATCTGAAATTGATTAGCTCAGTGCGCTATATGATCGCTTTTGCACCATATGCAAATATATGACCTAGTCAGATGTGATTTACTCATAAATGCTGTATATAAAATTTCATTGCATTCTATAAAAAAAATACTTGTCGACCTTCGCCAGCTTTTTTTTTACAAGGCCAGGCACTCTGTCTTGTGTGTGTCGTGTCGCATTATTAACACAATATTTGTTAAACATTTTTGCCGTGCTAAAACTGTCTTGAAGAAGCCTCTCGATACTTTTAACTTAACATCAGTGGTGACACTGCGTTGTATGGACATGTCAGATTGAACCCCCGGGTTCATATCAACTCAGCAACTTACCGGGGAATAGGTAATCAAATGACTATAGGAAATTGTACGAGTATTCTGCGAACGTCAACTACGTGCTACTACTTCGTATGTCGTATCCTGCTATGGAAATAGTCCTTAAACGTCATTGACTAGCATAGCAGAAGCCTTAGCAACGAAGTTCTGTAGCAACGAAGTTTCATTCACGAAACCAACCTTATTGTCCTGAGGGCTATCTTGGCCCCGCAAGAGGTCATCGGCAATATGATGCTTCATGTCGACGAGGCGCAGAGCTGTAATATTGGCACGTGAATGCATGAAGTCGTTCAACTTGGCCACATGAAAATCCTGCGAAACAGTAAAATTATAAGTTGGACAAATTTTGTAACTTGTATTGATCGCTTATGACCGATGATAATCTCATACAGTTTCGTTTTAAGCGCCATGTTACTTCGATAAGATTAAGGGCAGTAGAAAACCGGTAGACGGTAAAACTATGCTAAGCGTGCGTAACTACTGTGCCAGCTTAGGGAGCTGTCCGTCCGTTACATTGACGCTCTTAGTAACTTTATTTTAGCTATCCTTTGTCATAGAATAATAACATTGTTAGTGTATTATAGCGAACTTGCATTTGCTCATAATTAATTCGTTTCACAATCTTTGTGATGAAACCACCGTTTGTTTATCAGCTTTCAGCAACGATTCAATGTTGGCCAGCGATTTTGGGAATTTTACTATAGCACTAGAATTTTACTTTAGATTTGTACGTTTCATATCCTAGATAAATAGTGCTATGCCAACATCGGCGCACTGTATCAAGCGGCTGACTCTAGCATCAGGCTGCGTGCACTTGCGTCCTGTTTAGAAACAAGGCCATCTAACACGTATATAAGTTTAGTAGGAAAACCTCTAACTGACAGTTTCCGTAACACTATTATCACAGTATAGCCTAAACCACAGAGGTGTATTTCTAAATCGATCACTTAACTTTGCCGATATTCTTGTAGGTAAAAATGGCCCAAACGAATTGAGGTACTATTAAGTTTTTCGGTATATATACGGTAAATAATCATAATGTACACAAACTTAATGGACCGCTTATTCAATAGCAGTATGTCAATGAAAGGAATACATTCACAGAATTTCGAAGCGCATCTGGAAACTTGAATTGGTCTGGTGATTGAAGAAACTTACTTTTTCTGCTTACGGAATCGCCAGATGTTATTTTTCTGTGGCCCATCTTAATTGGCCGCATGCTTAGAAACATGCCATTAGCAAGCTGCCCTATCTTACTTAGGCCCAAACGGCTCCTTAAAACGGTCCTTAAGCAAATCCTTAAAACGGATACCCTACATTTCGAATGCGTTTAAACCGTTTGATAATTAGACGCATCTTCGGGACGCCACAGTAGCTAATATGCTTCGGCTCGTATAGAATAACTGTTTTTTGCGCCAACTGGAGAAAATTTCGTTTTCTTTTTTAACAGAATGATGGACGTTTACGCTCGCTAAATAAGAAAACTCCAGTCAGGCGTAGTGTGGTTGGATATATAGGAAAGTAGCTATGTCTAACCCGCACCGAATATGTTAAAGGTGCATACGGGGGTACGATAAGTGCTCATTCCCAAAAATAGACGGATTTTTTTCATAAGTAACACGCGTCTGTTCTTAGGGCCATCAAGCTACATCACTATTCCGACTCAAGATCACCGGAATGTCCTGAATGACTAAGATGAAGGCGCTTCTAATAATCATTTCAAAACTGAATACTCTACGTGCACAGACGAACTCTTTATGTGTCTACTAATAAATTGTATCAATTCAGGACCACCGATCCAGTCTTCGGATCGGTGGTCCTGAATCGATCGGAGCTGTTAAGTATCGGATCCATGAGAAGTACTTGTACTTAGCTTACAGGGCCGTATATACCTGTGGACCGTGTACGTATTTTTTGGGCTAATGGAATTAGAATTTCTCAGAGGATACACTAAGTCCTTTTAGTTGCCGTCGGTTAGTAAAGGCTTCACATGTGGGCCGATTTAGCTATGATAAACGGACGATCATTTCGATCTGTGTTACATACACTCATTCGAGTCCCCCGGCATTGACCTGGCCGGAAATGAGGACTGGTGATCTTTGTTGATGCTAGGAGCCGGCATATCGCGTGTTAAGCGTAGCAAAGTTGCTATGTCATTTATCGAGATAATAAAATCAGAGCGGTAGTTAAAACTGGACCCTTTTTTTATACCCAGTTTTTCTGTTTCAGTTCACATTGATCCGACCAACTCAGAGCTTTATGGTTAGAAAAGTTAGACAAGCTACACCACTTCTAATGTCTTATTATAAAATAATAATTAACTAGGTATGTCGTGAGGAACTGGAGTGGGTTGATGAGCTCGGTGACGGCGCTCGACACGTGACTGACTGTCAGTAGCAATGTCCGCGAAGCGAACAACTATAAAGCGTATATTGAGTTACGAATGTATACTGCGCAAACATGTTTCAATTTGTTTCAACATGGCTCTATTGCATCTTTGGCTTCCGGAAGCCAAAGTAAAGGAGAAAGGGCATACTGGCCGGCAATTTGAGAAGATTGGATTCTTATAGTAAGCAGCCGTAAAGGGTTTTTTGCAAACAAATCTCTCTTCGGTATATTATCAAAAGTTCGATTTGAGGTGAAATCCGTTAATAATACGTAGAATATACCCAATCTCCCTTTCGAATCTGTTTCAAGCTATTCGAAAATATGTATTCTGCAATGTTACGTACTCGCCTATCAACTGTTTCCGAAAGCTCGCTAAATAAGTAATGTTAAAATAAAGCCTAAATAAGCTTTTTGTGTTAGTTTTATAACATTAGAAGGTGTGCATACTAGCGAAAGGAAGAAGTAGTTGTAGTTCTCATTAAGCATGGCCACTTGCATGGCCTGTTTGAGAAAAGATTCGATTTTCCCTTCTTTGTCCTTTTCCCGCTCGGCTTTTTGCTCCAGATCGACGACAACATTTCGTATGTCGCGCTCCTTAATCTGGCGTAAAAGCGTCCGGAACGTTTCGCCTTTATCCTTCTTGAAATAATTCACGGTAATCCCGTCTTCTTGAAGCTCTTGAAGCAGTCGACGCATTTCGATGATATCTGCAAATCGACGAAGTACACATTCTTCTGAACTCCTATGGAAATACTGCTTTGTGAAAACTTGCAGGATATAGAATTAATGATTTAGAAACTTGCTTTTTTTTCCTTTGTCGATATGGAATAAACTGTGGTTGCATGCCAAAGGAAGTTAGTAGTTATTCAATTATCACATAGAACGCCACATTTAGAAACACTATATTCGCGATTTCTTCAAAACGTTTTATTCTGGATCCCCCTCATCTGTCTTAAATATTATACTAACGCCAAAGAACAGTGAAACTCATGTTTCTGACAACCTTCAAATTTCATTTCTCAGCGTAACCACCCTCCAAGCACGCCGCGCTATTGTATACATTCTAGGTCAAATAAAATAAAAGTAAAATCAAAACCATATAAATACGTATCCGATTATTAGACTGAATAGTTTGGAAGGGTGTCTACACAAACGCTTAATAATGCGTAAAAGCTGTATATGTAATGAAAGCAGAAAAAAAAATTGTGTAAGTATTGATCTTTAGCAAGTTCAGTCTAACGTGCTATGGTACGACGGTGCTGCCTTAACGTAGTAGAACTGATAAAAAAAAAAAAGGATACTGGTTTGTACATGGGCTAATTACCTAAGGGCCTAAAAAATTACAGGTTTGTCACCGGTATAATTCACCTGGGCACGTAGTCATTCTAGCAGCTGTAGAATGTATACAATGTTGAACAACGTATTCATAGAAGTGATATAAATTAACTCCCAGGTAAGTCCACGCGAGCTACAAGTATAAGGTGTTCGAAGTGATTTGAGGGCAAATTTTCTTTTTAAGGTACTTTAGCTGCTTCATGCATTTCTGGATCGGATCTTGTAGGCGAATTCTGTTAGCATTTTGTGTTAGTTTTCAGACACTTAGACGCAAGATAACCTAGACTAAACACATCTATTTTTATTTGAACGACATTGAAAGATTTTGGCGTCCGAAGACAGGCTCTTCACATTCTCAACGGTTGAAGTTATACGCGTCTCTCTAGGCCTTCACTAGGGTCTTCGCAGTGGCCACTATTGTTGCGCCATGATATTTAACAAATCTAGTAGCTATGTAACACATCGCACAGTTCTCGAACGTTCAGCTTGTAATGTAAAGGGCATTACTCGATACTTTGATATTGAAAAAGCTGGTTTGTCAAAATACTGCAAAGCAAACATCAAAATATTGTTGAATTAACTTCCGGTCACCTTTGGCCCGGTATCTACATACATTCTGCGTTTCTTTTCCATTTGTTGTTAATCTCCATACTTACCTCCTTATCCTCATAATTATTATTATATCAGCAAAAAACGGATTGTACTTACGTACACGGAGCACATTCTATATAGAAAAAGCGCAACGCTTGGCCAAGTCGTTTGATCTGTCGGTGGTCCGTTTATGAACAGGCCAAGGAATATGATATGTGAAAATAAACTGAGGACTAGGGGAGCCCGTCCTGGCTGGCCAGTCCCACGAGCCATCACGTTACCACAGTGGCACTGTACGGCGAGGTCCCCTTGCCAAATGATAATAGCGAAACGGCCGGCCGACCAGTACGGCGGTGACAATTCACTCCAAGGAATCTACTCATGTCTTCTGTTGCACTTCCATCTGGGATTTAGTAGATGTAGCGTCTCGGTCTTCTAGGGGTCAGAGCGAACGCTGGAGGCCTGGGCTGCAATCGCCATAGTTTCGGCCCCAGCGGTCGACGCTTGCCTCAGCCCGTTTATCCCTCTCTCACTCGCCCGGTTTAACTACTGCTGCTGTTGCTACCACCGCCGCTTTGCTGCTCTTACTAGAACACACACTGATCTTACTTTTACAAGGATGACGACGAGCCGGTTCGAACGAGCCGACTCTCCCTTCCCAAGTATCTGCAGCTACTTGTTACACACATACAACCACAGGCATCACACGCAATTATTACACATACGCACTTGCACACAGCTTGCAAATGTGGCTGTATGGCACAAGAAATCGCCACCGGCATCGCTGTCGCCCTAGCGGCGCTCCGGCCAACTCCCTGTTTCGGTACTTCGCTTCAACAGCGCCCCCACCCCGAGGTCAGCAACGACGAGCAGTAGAAACAGCGACGAGGCTAGATTGGCAGCGAGACCGTGCTCCATTCGGGCCCTTCGCTAGCGCATTTGCAGAGATGCGCAATTAGTTGCCGCCCACAAATTAGAAGTGCGACAGCAGCTAATATTCGTTCATAGTTGTTCTCTCCCGTTCGCTATAATCATCGTTATTCGGTCCTGTACTATGCTTCCGCTTAGCCGCGCCATTTCTCCGTGTGCCGTAACAGGCGCAGAGAAAGCGGCAGTAGTTCTGTGCAAACGCATACAGAGAACAGAGGGCAGCCCACATTCATTTGGCTGCAAGAAGACGTGTCCCATTTAAACTATCCAGCAGGAGGCTAGTACAAAATGTGGCTGGGTTCCCGTTGGAAAAACGCGAGTCCGGAGAAGAAAAGTGGACCTATGAGAAGAAGATTTTAGACGATGATAGGAAACGACCCTCTTCACTTCCCCTGCTCTTGTCTTTGGGCGACCCTTTCGGGCTCGAATAGAACTGAATCGTGCAAAAATTAGAAGTGGCGACAAACCCAGTCGATGGGCACAGTCAGCGGCAGCTGGTAGGGCAAACGAATACATTCGATCGTTTCATGCGCTATACTGTCTCGTCTGTTTTTGGCTCTTCACCGCGTGTGAAACCTGTGATTTCGTCAGAGCAACGAAAGAAGGTAGACGAAGCCCCGCTGAGATAAACCCTTATATACACCTACTGATGTTGGACTCGGTAAGGCCAAAAAATTAAATCGAAGAAAAACAACCGAATGACCGTGATGTTATTGTTGCGGCTTTCCTATGGCACGATGGTTCTTGGTCTTGCTGGACGCAATGAGACAACTCACCTTTCCGTAAAAGAAGCAATACGCGTTAAACAACGTTGTGGTTGTGAGGATACCCGTCAAATGTTTACATTAGATGGCATTATAAAACTGTACCAATACGAGTGTATGGAAACAATGAGTGTACCACTCTGATTGTTTTCCCCTTTGTTAAGGCAACATTTTTATAGTACTATATGGCTATCTTATCAGTTAACTAGTTCTCTGCACTTAAGCACCATTTATTGATTTATGAGAAAGAGGTACAGGTTATCATGACAGATTTCGTCCACTTGCGGTGAAAACAATATGACGTATGGAAAATGCGCAAAAAAGAAAAGTTAAGTCAATTGTCCCGCCCTGGTGTCTAGAGTAGTCAATTGACCAGACGCATATATCTACCGTATTGCAAACTTACCGTCATCACTTTCGTATATCAGGGCGATATCCCTCCATTTCCAGTACTCCATAAGGGCTGTTTGAGCCTCAGCAATCTGTACGGGATCAGGGAATAAGTTCAGCGAGTGTTCGTCATCAATCAGGGACGGATCCCAACGAAACTCAATATGAGGAAGATCAAAATGGCGAGCCATAGATGAGACATGAAGAGAGCTCACTGGTGACGTTGGCCCAAAAACGACGTTTACATCTGATTCCATTAACGCGCACACTGTATGAACAGAATGTAAAAGAAACAATGTGAAAGCAAAGAAAAAAATAATTGCGGGTTAATTATATAGTGTGCTAAGAGGAAGAACTATTTAACATATAAGATCGATGGCTTCGCTAATTGGTTTTGGGTAAACTAGAATATATGCCACCGTTAGCATTGAATGTACCAGTAGAAAGACAGTTGCAACAAAATTAGTCATACTTCGCAACGAAGAATTCTTGTAGAACCGCTAAAATGCAATTAGAACAAAGAAAAAAACCCTAATAAACTATGGGGTGTTCTAATGTATCACTCAAGATCCATATACTAAATGATCCTTTACAGGTTCTATCGTTAAACAAACGCAAATCTTCGCTCCTACTACGGGTGCCGATTATGGAAGTGAAGGCAGAGGATTGAACCTAAGCTTATCCTCAGTTTCCTAAAATTACGCCAAGGAATTATAATAAATATATCGTTTATAAGTATAATCGTTTTGAGTTTAATCACGCCCTTTACAAAACACCTACTCCCTTTAGAATTGAGATATTCATTATGACATTAATAGGGTAAGTTCACTCGCATGCGCAGAGTTAGCTGCCCACCAAAGCCAGGAAAACAGACAGACTCTAGCCAAATATTTAGGTAAAAATAATTTTTAGGTTTTACGCACAACTTAATACCTAAATTAAGTTTATTTATGACATAGAGTAATGTGTTACTTACTGCTTTGGATGGCTTCGAGAATGTCGTCATTCTGAATGACTTTGGAGACAGCCTTGAGGTTCGAGTCGACTAATTTAGATGCGATATAGAGGAAATGTTTCGCAAGATCCTGATCCTCAACGATGATTCCTATGCAAATATTAAGCGAGAAAAGCAATTTTACAGCTGTAGCCAAAAGAGTTACGAGTTAAAAGGTGACCAGAAGAGAGAAATGAAGCGGACTGAAGTTATTACTAGCCTATCTAACCCGTTGGGACTACGACGCGATCTTAGCCCGTCTCTGAAGTATATTCAGGGTATTGGTACCCATTAAGTACCCAGGGTATTGGCTGCCATTAAGTGCGTGATGGTGCGCTTGTAGACGACGCGTGTCATTTTAACATGGATGAAATAAAGAAATGACAATTCATGTTTTATTAAATAATATTTTGTATGCACGATACGTCGTATTTAGATGACGTAAACTTCCGAAAATAAATTGCGTAAGTTAATTATACTAGCACAGCAGGCTGATCAACTATAGGGCATACCATTTTGTTTAAAGTGAAGAAACAGTTTGAATTTGCGCGCCATTGAATCCGCGTTTGTGCAAATTGTAGAATGCCCACAAAAACTAGAAACTATAAAGCTCGAACAAACAGGCGGTTCGAGCATTTCGGAGACGGACCACAGCCCATCAAAAACGATACTCATCCTGGAAGGCCTATGACAGCGATGATGGACGATAACGTCGAAAGCTAAAACAACTCGTAGTTAACGACCGCCTAATTCCTCTAAGTGAGCTAGCAGAAGAGATAGGGAAATCAATTAACTCATGTAAAATAATTCTGAGCGTCCATTTAGATATCAGATGGTAAAGTTTACGCCGAATGTCCAGCGGATAAACACCCATAAAATACTGTATCAGGAAAATCTTTTGGCACCCCTAGGAAAACAGACCTTGTGTGAATACATCATTACAAGTGAGTGTACGGCTAGAACGACAGAGGTAAGGCGCAGTCTTCCAAATAAACGAAGTTCGATCGATGCTTTTTGCAGTTTTCCCGGACTGTCGGGGGATCGTTAATCACAAGCAGATAACGTCCCCAAACACTAGCAAAAAAATCCGAAAAGATTGCACGAGCTTGTCCGATGCAACAGACCAGAATGATGGCATAACAAGTGCTAGGTTCTCGATCAGGGCAATATATTGGCTCACATTTCACCAGTCGTTGAAAAATCAGCTTCCTTGCGGCTCTTTCTGATGCCGAAAACTAAAAAGAAAATTCAAGAAGAAGCGTTTTGACTCGATAGAAAAGAAAATTTAAGAAAAAACGCTGACCAAATTAACGATTATCTCGACCATCGAATTTGAAAAGTGTTTTGAGGACTGTGACAAGCGATAGCATAAGCCTGTTGCTTACGGCGGAAACTATTTTGAAGGGACAGCGTCAACTAGGACAACGTAATTTTTGTTTTTATTTGTTAACTGCTTACCAATCTGGGGAAAATAAATTACTAAGGGTTACGTTTCTGGCGGCCGTAAGAGGCGTAACGCAGGGCATGCTAAAGAAAGCCTCTATCTAGCAACTGCACGTGTTCTAAAATAGGATATTATAGTTTTGCAGAGACAAAAGTAGACGTCATACCGTGCTTTAAACAGCCCGTCATTGTCACATAGATAAGTTTCTGAAAATCGATAAATGTAATATTTAAGACCAGATTCGAGCAAGCATTATCGACACTTCTTCGGAAAGACGTAGCAACGTCTGCAATAGATATTTCATAGCGTTTTGTAGGAACTCCTGAATACAACCAGCATGGCTCTCAGTTATTTTATTACATTCGTAATGTGTTCGCTTCAATGGAAGCCTTTATCCCTCCGAGAAACCATTTGAATAGGTTAGTGTGCCAGGTCAAAACTTGATAGGTTGCGATACATATGTGAATGAGTCAACGCGGTTTTCTCCAGCGTTAACTGAATAGCGTTACATAATACAGATAATTGATTTCTAGTCGATTGACATTTGGCCTGTTTTCAATATGGAGCCCTTGTTTCAATCAGTGAGTCAGATGTCAGGGAGACACCGAGCAGGTATTCATGATACTACATCTACTATGTATAAAGGTAACACTGTTATTAATTCTACAGGACAGGAAAGCCTTTTCCCTGTTGGCGAGTGGCCAGTATTTCATATCGGAATTACTCGAGGCCCGTGTTCAGTTTCAAGTAAGAGAAGGCTTAGAATAGAAGCCTGACTCCATGTGACACTGGCATTCCGGCCAACAACCTGGCCAATCGATATGCCTAGCACGCCGCATTCACCGAGGGCTTCTGAGTAATGAGTTGCTCGGTAACCTGATCACACATACAGCGAGAGGTAGGCAGTCCCGGGCAGAGTCAGTGATCAGCTTATCGCAGGTTACCTAGGCTAGAAGAGTCTAGTCGGGCTGAATCGCATTTTATGTACGTCTGCTGTATAGTATGATATTAGGTATCACCCGACGCTTCGTCGACTGTTTTGACATCATAGTGATGCCGTGTGCTGCCCGAATCGATTACTAAGATCAGTGGACTGCGGCACAGTCGACCCGCATCGGCAGACTGTATCGCGACAATAACCCAATAGTGGGTCTACTGCTACTTGATGCTGTCCCCATTTCAGCGCCTCGAACAACGACTGATGCTGGTAATAATGCCATAGAAAATTCTTGTCTCCCGGTGCTATGTATCTGATTCATAATAATTTCGCTGATAATGCGCGCTCATCCAGTGGGGTTCGATGTTGGTTTCCTTTGGTACAATCACGTCGACCTTTAGCGAACTGGACGAAACTAGAGAACGCTTGTGTTGATCTGCTAGTTCTGTGTGCATAGCATGTGTATAAGGGCCAAGACTTGGAAATGTCTTTCAGTTCTGACCATTTCCTATTGTGATGTTGTGAAATTCAAAAGAACTCTTGCTTTGTTTATAGTATCTTGTATGCTAGAACTACAAGCACTTACAAAGGGTCCACAGTTATTGCTAGAGAAGCCAGAACCTTCTAAACATCTGCTCCGGTTGCCCTGTTTGGCCATTACGGAATCGGTCGGCTTACTCTATTGATGATTTCAGCTATTCGCAAACAATGGAGCGTAGTATTCATTTCTAACCGAGAAGATGCGTAACACCCACATTTATAAAATATTTCTACGTTGTTTTTGCTCCATAAACTTCTCATATAACCTGCAAAGATGGTCTCTATTTTTCGAAGCGACGTGATAGGGTTCGAGTGATCTGGTTGTACCCTTGCATGAGTTAGGGCAAAATCTAAATACTAAATATATCGCTTACGCAAATAGGTTACGTGTATAGTTTATGATATATGCGATGACGATCAGAACTTTTTACGATTTAATGTCACCTGTATAGTATGCAACGGTTTCCCTGGTGACCTCGTGCGGTGAGAAAGTATTTGTTCAAAAATTTGTTTGACATCTACCTTGTAACTATCCTGGCATTTTAAGCTTAGAATACGCGAGTTGCGTAGCAACAAAAATGAAAAAACTAGGATAAATTCCGGCACTTACATGCAGAGTGAGAGATAATAGTTGAAAGAAACGGCAGGAACTCTTTGCACGAGCCCGATCCCCTTTCTAGTCGCCCCCGTTCTACACCCACTTCGCTTTGTGCCTGCTTTGAACTTTCCGTTCCCTATCAGTTAAGGTTGCTGTTGTACCTGTTTGCTCTGCACGAAGGCACTCACTTGAGCTGGCCAGGACATCAACTTTGGTATGTAATTGGTCGCCATAAACTAAAAACGAAATAATAGGTACTTAAAGTTAATTACGTTGTCAACGATACGTTGTCAATGAATTTTGTTCGTTACTCGTAAGTAATCTAGAGACGATAGCTTTTTTTTTAAGGAAAGTCGGACTAGTGAAAAAAAAAATTGAGAATAAGAATAAAGGTATCGCCATTGCGTTGTACCGGCAAAGCACCAATGATACCTTTTACTAACGTTACCACCATTTCTCCCGTGTCCCAATATCGTCTACTTTACCGAAAAAGTCAGTCAACTAATACTAAGGACTACTTCATCTCTCAATCTCTAAACCATTTCTCTCTTATATCGCTTATGTAGAAGTGGGTTAGTATTTAGATAGCCAACCATTTCTGGGCCATCGGTTATTTTCGAAACCACCAGCTCAGCTTTTGTTGAAGGTGCATATTAACTCCTTTTTGCAATACGCCGTCCAACCTTAAGTTATACAAATCGGCCTCTTCAACTATAGATTTTTACGTTTTATATTGATAAAACACAGCCTTGGCTTTACAGGCTAGGCTTATTCAAATCATTCTTATTCAGCAGCGATATTTACTATAATTATTGCATAACTTATCTGAAAGTGAGGAGTTGTTACAAGAATCAACATGTACCTATAAATACGTTATCAGCTTATCTCGAATACTGCCCGGAGAAGAGATAGGTAATGTAGCTACAGCTAAGGTAAGCGCTTTGACCTCCATTCGGTCTGGGTTACACGTCGCCTTGTGTGAGATTCCTTAGGCGAGCAACGTTGTCACCCTTATTCGCTCAAGCCGCTGCTTAGAGCTCTTTACTGCGTGGATGTAACATGGTTGCCATCATTACATTAAGCAAAGACAAAGAGCGTTAAAAGGCCTTATAGTCTCTTGAAGGAAGGTACAGAAAGTGAGCCTGCAGACGTTCGCTGCCGTTCGCTCCAAGTGCACAAGCGTTCGTCGTTCCTTCCCTAGCAAAGAGGAAATGAAGATCGTGAGCTGAGTTTGAAGGGAGTCGGGCCGTCGTCTAGGTATCTGACACAGGCACACCAAACAGCTTGTCGCTCTAAACCATTTCCTAGTACGGACCCGTTACAGAGTTGACGGCCATGAGTCTATAGTGTCCATCGGGACATAAGGCAAAGCCCCCTATGCCCTTGAGCGTCGTTGAGATAGCTTCGAGTCTCGAGGTTCGACACCTCGACGACGACGAAGCCGAATACGGCTACAACATGAGATTAATCCTGGGGGACAACGTTACAAAGCAGCTAAAGGGGATCTGACTTCAAAAGACTGCTTCCAACACGATGTACGATGACCGAGGTCTTACTTGGGCTTCAGCGTCTTCCTTTCAAAGCTAGCTTGC